GAAACCCACCAGATTTTAAACATTTCTGTTAAAAGGGCCTTTGCGAGGAACCTTTTTCAGGTGCTTCGACCTTCTGCAACAACGGTTGCGAGCCTACGAGGGCCACCATCCCTTGCAAAAAATGACACGAAGTGCACATGCGCGCGGCCGCCGCGCGCGCGTGCCGAAATCCTGCCAAACATAATGTGATTTCAATAATTTCAAGATGCGATGTTCCGAAAACATATGCAAACGCAAGACTTTCTCATCCGAAAAATATCAAAATCCGGGGCACATGCGGGGCCCAAACAAGTGATCAACCTCTGCGGGTGTGTACTCCACGCCAGTGTAGTATCCACGATCGTCCGCGCGCCACGAAGTGAAGTGACCTGACGTCATAGGGCGGGAAGCTGGGTGTGGGTGGTTCCCGAGAGTCGTGTGGATGTTTGGTAGAGCTTGCATTGCCCCCCCACGAAGTGGGGGTATTGGCTGGCGTCGCATGAAAACCCTGGCACTGGGAGAACACTGAGCGTTCGGGTAAAATGATTGTTGTTGTTGTTGTTGTCGTTGTTGTTGAACATTATTTATTCTAGAATAATTATTGTTGGGACCCCTGGTGCACGGCCCCCCTGCGCCGCCTAGGCCGCAGCTACATTTTTCATCATTTTCGTGAGGAAGCCTCAGGTAATTCGATGTGATCAAGATCCGGTTGTTTTGTTCCCCCCCGCTTTCCCTTGCAAAAAACACTATAAAATGACATTTCTTGTTCTAATATAATCAAATTTCAAGAATCCCTTGCAAAAAATAAGGTAAGTGGACATTCGCGCGCGCAAGACGAAATCCTTCCAAAAGCTTAGTGTTCGGAGCGATTTTAACATAAAAACATCAAAAAAACAATGGTTTTTCAACAAAAAATTGTCAAAATCTCATCCCGCGCGCTCTTGCGGATTCGTAGGAAACCCAACACTTCTTAAACATTTCTGTCAAACGGGCTTTTGCGAGCAACTTTTTCGAACTTCTGCAACAACGGTTGCGCACCTGCCAGGGCCATCATCCCTGTCAAATAATACCATGCGGGACACATTCGTTTTTTCTTCGCGCGCGCACGCCGTCGTCGTCGGCCGCGGGGCCTTGAAATAGTAGCCACGGTCGTCCGCATGCCACGAAGTGAAGTGTCCGAACGTCATAGGGCGGGAAGCTGGGTGTGGGTGGTGGCGAAGAGTCGTTTGGAAATTTGGTAGAGCTTGAACCGCCCCCCCCACAAAGTGGGGGTATTGCCCGCCTCCTATGAAAACCCTGGCACTGGTGAGAACGGAGTGTCCCCACGTGCTAGTAATTGTTGTTGAACATTATTAATTCTAAAGAATAATTATTGTTGGGCCCCCTGGTGCACGCCCCCCCCGCCGCGCCTAGGCCGCAGCTACATTTTCATCATTTTCGTGAGGAAGCCTCAGGTAATACGATGTCATCAAGATCCGGTTGTTTTGTTGTAATCCGTTTTCCCTTGCAAAAAACACTATAAAATGACATTTCTTGTTCTAATATAATCAAATTTCAAGAATCCCTTGCAAAAAATAAGGTAAAGTGGACATTCGCGCGCGCAAAACGAAATCCTTCCAAAACCTTAGTGTTCGTAGCGATTTTAACATAAAAACATCAAAAAAACCAATGGTTTTTCAAAAAAAAATGTCAAAATTTCATCCCGCGCGCTCTTGCGGATTCGTAGGAAACCCAACACTTTTTAAACATTTCTGTCAAACGGGCTTTTGCGAGCAACTTTTTCGAACTTCTGCGACAACGGTTGCGCACCTGCCAGGGCCATCATCCCTGTCAAATAATACCATGCGGGACACATTCGTTTTTTTTCTTCGCGCGCGCACGCCGAAATCTCCAAAAACCATTGGGTTTTTAAGAATTCTAGCACCGCGCATCATAAAATCACACGAATCGCACCGTAGGTCCTCGAAAAACACCTGCACGACTTTTCAAAATTTCTACCCGCGCGCGCTGTCCGAATCCTAAAAAAAACAATGGTTTTTTCCAAAAACCAGTATAGGTGTCCAGTGTTGGAACAGGGGGAAAAGTCGTATACTAAGCTAGCGTCCAGAAAATGTTACCACAACAAGTCACTGTACCCATGCGCCAGTGTAGTAGCCACGGTCGTCCGCAGGCCACGAAGTGAAGTGTCCGAACGTCATAGGGAGGGAAGCTGGGTGTGGGTGGTGGCGAAGAGTCGTTTGGAAATGTGGTAGAGCTTGAACCGGCCCCCCCACAAAGTGGGGGTATTGGCGGGCGTCGTATGAAAACCCTGGCACTGGTGAGAACACTGAGCGTTCGGGTAAAGTGATTATTGTTGTTGTTGTTGTTGTTGTTGTTGTTGTTGTTTTGTGTTTTTTGTTTGTTTGTTTGTTTTTTGCTCATTCCCAGATCCCAATCTGCTTTCGGCGGCTTCCTGCTTCAATCATGGAGCGGTTTCCCTTCTTCCTTGCTATTATCAACGCCTTCCTACTTATTGTTTCAATTCACATCTTCCGACCGATTAGTGCAAGGCGGGGGCGTTCGTCAAGGAGTGTGCTCAGGAGGCTTCGGACCCTGGAGGATTCCTTACCTGACGAGGGCGGCTGTGATATGCATGGCCTTGCCTCCATCGGAGTCCCACAGGCTTTCACACACTGCATTCCTCATCCAAGGGTTCTTTATCCTATGCCCTCGCGCAGACAGATCTCCGCCGGAGTGACGCTTGACGACGACGCAGTGCTGCCCACAGCCTGGCGCAAGGCTGGAGGTGTAGGGGCGCTCCTGACACCTCCATGGACTCTCTATTTTTCTCTCTCTCTCTCTCTCCCTCTCTCTCTCTCTCGCTCTATCTTACCCCATGCCCTCACCGTATGTGCTCGCAACCACCGCGTCCTCCGCCCCGCCGTTGTAGCTCAAAGCGGACAAAGCGGAAACCTCGCCGCTGCGCTGCGCCAGCCGCGGTCGCATCCATACCAAGCTGACAGCAACATATTTTTGACGCTTCGCGTACTCCCACCAGCCCATCCAGAAACGATGCCCAGACGAGCTGCCCTGATCAGGGAAGTGTACTAGGATGCAGTGGAGCAGTGGGTTGCTTTTGGGTGGGGGGGGCGGGGGCGGGGCATCCGTTGTTGGTGTTACTGTGTTCGTTGTGTCATGTTTGGTTGCCTTCTTTCTTTCTTTATTTCTTTCTTTTTCTTTCTCTCTCCCTCTCTCTCTCTCTCTCCCTCTCCTGATTTCACGGTTCTTTGGGTTGTTGTTGTTGTTGTTGGTGTTGTTGTTGTTGTTGTTGTTGTTGTTGTTGTTGGTGTTGTTGTTGTTGGTGTTGTTGTTGTTGTTGTTGTTGTTGTTGTTGTTGTTGTTGTTGTTGTTGTTGTTGTTGTTGTTGTTGTTGTTGTTTGTTTCTCCTCTCTCTCTCGATCTTGAGCATTCGATCGAGTGGGTCCGCACACCCTCAGGGGCTTGGCATCGCTCGGACGTGTGCATTCTTCCTTCGGCGAGGACCATCGAGGAGCATCCTTGATCATCTGGCGAAAAAACCACGCACGAAACCGAAAAAAACACAGGAAATGGACGTCCGAGCGATGGCCAGGGGGAGGCCACCGACCCGGGGTGCGCTGGCCGGGCCTCGCGCGCGCGCCCCCGTCCGAGCCGCGGCCCCGGTGCGGCGCTCCCTCTCCGCGCCGTGGCCCCGTGCGGCGCGGCACGGACCGGGCGCGCCTCGCGGGCCCCTCGGAGGCCGGCCTCGCCCTGCCCGCCGAGCGGGCCTGCACTGAGTCGGGCGGGCCCCCTCTGCAGGAGAAGTGTTCAGAGATGGTCCCACCATCGGATGGGGACGTTTTTTTTTTTTTTTTGTTTTTTTTGTTTTTTGTGTTTTTGATTTTTTGTTCGTTTTTATATGTGTATTGTTCTATTTTTGGTATTTTAGGAAAGCTTTTCGACTCTTTTGACGATTCTTGATCATTCGTCCAAACTCCGCCTGTAGGGGGACATGCCCGCCTTCCGAGCGGGCTCTCTTGTGCGATCTTGGAGCCATCTGGAGCCCCTCAGGGGCGAGCACGCCTTGATGTGTTTGAAGCATGATGGCCTCTCGGGAAGATCCGTGGGAGGCTCCGTTGCCACTTGGGGCTGCCTTGGGGCGGTCTTGGGGCACCTGGGAGGCATTCTGGAAGCCACCTTGAGCCATCTTTGGTCAGTTTGGTGTCATCTTGGAGCCCAGCTGGGGCTGCCTGGCACCATCCTGGAGCCACCTGGGGCCCTCCGACGCCTCGACCCCCTCGCCCCTCCCCCGCCCAGGCCCAGGGCAGGGTGCACGAGAAGGGGTCAAACCACAGAGGTGAGCGCCGCAAGCTGCCTCGCTCACCCCCGCCCGCCCTCCCACAATTTAAGGAGCACCCGGGATTCAGAGGAGGAGGAAGAGGAGGAGGAGGAGGAGGAGGAGGAGGAGGAGGTGGAGGAGCAGGAGGAGGAGGAGGAGGAGGAGGAGGTGGAGGAGGAGGAGGAGGAGGAGGAGGAGGAGGAGGAGGTGTGCCAGTGCAGGTGACAGCACACATTGGGCAATGTGTCGACACCCCCTCTCGTGCCGAGACAGCACGTGCAGTCTGGCGGCGGGTGGTCAGCACTGTGTCTTGTGTGCCCGCAGTCCATGAGGGTCGGCTCTTGATATGGATAGTGGGCGAGAGCACGGCGGACACATCTGACCGCACACTCCGCCACAATCGCCAGCAACCAATGCAAAGAGATCGTCGGGTGCCCATTTATGATCCAGATTTTGCTGCCACGTGCACTTAGTAGTATTGTTTCGTTGGCAGGGGTGGTGTGGGGGTTCTCATCTGTACTGGTTGGTGGCCCGTCGAGTGGGGGAGGGGCTACCTACCAGCGAAGAGTAGTGACGGTCCCCTCCCCGAAGTGGAAGAAAGGGCTTGGAAGAGGAAGCGCCTTCGACCACATACGCCAAGAGGGCTGGTGGAATTTCGGGCCTTGTGCTCTCCCACGCTGTTGCGATGTCTACTCGCACCCAAAGGGTGAACCCAGACATTAGCGTGGACAGTCAAGTTCAGAACGTAACAGTGAAATGCAACTTGGAATCCGTGATGAGCTTCACCGATGGCTTCAATCCGTCCGACCTGGCGAGGCCGGCGATCATGAGCACGGACCGTGCGCAGGCGCCACTAAGCTACAGGGAACTTCGTGGTTTCTTGCAGACGGCTTCGCTTTTTCCCATCTGTGGTGTTGGCACCGAAGATGTCGTGGCTCTGCTGTTAAGCAATGGGCCGACATTGGCCGTGGCCCTGCTTCTGGTCATGAGCAACTGTGTCGCAGCGCCACTTGAACCCACCTTGTCCGAGGAGGAATTGTTGGATGCGTTTCAGCAGTTGCGCATCAAGCATGCCGTGAAGCTCCGTCAGCAAAAGGTGCCCTCTGTGAGCATCATCAAGGCGGCGCAAGTCGCGGGTGTGAGCTTGCATGAGATCGCCCCCCTCGCTGACAAGGCTGGGATATTTGTCTGCCCGGTCAGCCCAGGTGACACTGGGGAGCGCGATTTTGCAGCTCCAGCTCTGGGCAGGAGCCTTGGTTGGTGCGGCTCCCGCCCTAGCACGGATCCTGTGCTGGCTCTTCGGACATCAGGAACCACATCCAAACCGAAGGTGGTTCCCTTGAGTTTGCAGGGTCTTCACGCAGGCGCTGTCAGCATTGGCCAGACTCTCGGGCTTGCAGAGACAGACGTGTGCTTGAACGTTTTGCCATTTACGCATATCGCTGGCATTTCCTGCAGCTTGCTCTCCACCCTCTTCATGGGAGGGTCTGTGGTCTGTGCCCCCTCCTTCAACGTCGAGCTCTTCGTGCACTGGCTCGGCGAGCTCGAGCCGACTTGGTACTTCGGCGTGCCCACGATCCACAAGGCTCTGCTGCTGCACTGCGGTGCCACCGCACCTCGACACAGCCTCCGCCTGATCCGCAACGCCGGTGCCAGCCTGCCCCACGCGGACGCGCAGAAGCTCAGGGTGCTCTTCGGCTGCTCCGTGATCCCCTCCTACGGCATGACGGAGTGCGCGCCGATCGCCCAGTGCCGGGAAGGCTACGCCCTGGACGCGCCGGGCACGGTGGGCAGCCCCGCCGCGGTGTCTGTCTGCATTGCGGATGAGGGCGGCCGTGTCCTTCCATATGGAGAGGATGGCGAGATCTGCATCAGGGGGCGCGTGGTGACAGCGGGTTACCTCAACAACGACGAGGCCAACTCGGCCTGCTTCTTCGGTGAGGCAGACACCGAGGGGTTCCGGTGGTTCAGGACGGGCGACGTGGGCCATCTAGACACAACTGGTTTCCTCTACGTCACTGGCCGAAGCAAGGAGCTCATCAAGCGCGGTGGCGAGCAGGTTAGCCCATACGAGGTGGAGGATTTATTGGCTAAGCATCACGCAGTGGATTTGGCAATTGTTTTTGGCGTGCCCAATGATTTCTGGGGCGAGGAGGTGGCTGCATGCGTCGTCGCTGCCAGTGTCCGTACTGGCGCAGGCACTCCCCTTCTGGCAGCCGCGGTCGCTTCGCAAGCAGTGATGGGCGCTGCCCGAAGAGAAGAAGGATTAGTCGGGCAGCCAGTGCAGGTTGACAGCATTTCACCTGCTGATCTCGTGCAGTTTCTTGTGGGGCAAGGCCTATCTCCTAGCAAGCTGCCGCGGCAGTTTGTGATCGTCCCTAACGTTGACAGTATCCCGAAGACAACGACGGGCAAGTACCTACGGTCCAGCCTGGCAAAACATTTCAACCTCGTTGCTGTGGACAACGAGGCTGCTATCGGCCTGCAGAACAACCAGAGCAGCATCAGTGAACCCTTCGGCGAAGGAGTGCGTAACAAAGTTATCCGACCAGATAAGTCGGTCCTGGGATTGCGTTTCGTCATTGCACTCTGGGTCGTATTCATGCACTTTGGGGCCAACTTTCCAGCAGTCATACGTGGCTTTCGCGCTTCCTCGCTGAGCATGGAGATGTTCTTCGTCATCGCTGGCTTCCAGTTGTCTGCTACCGTGACGCGGCCTATCACAGACTGGTGCGAGTTCTACAAGAACCGGATCGTTGCCGTCTATCCCCTCTATCTATTATCTATCCTGTTTGGATTGCCAGGGCTTTTATTCTCATTAGCAAAGACGCCTACGGCGAATCACTGCCGCCCTCTGGTTTTTGGAAACGCCCATGCGGCCAACGCTGGGCCGAAATTTGCCCAAGCGATTGGGCTATGTGCTCCCCCAGCCGTTGTGGAACCCCTGGGGGGAACACTTGGGAGAGGAAGGCGAAAGAGGAGGGCACGGATTAGAAGGAGGAGGAGGCGGAGGAGGCGGAGGAGGAGGTAGATGATGATGATGCTGATGATGATGATAACGATGATGATGATGATGATGATGATGATGATGATGATGATGATGATGATGATGATGATGATGATGATGATGATGCTGATGATGATGATGATGATGATGGTGATGATGGTGATGATGATGATGATCATGAGATGATGGTGATGATGATGATGATGATTATGATGATGAGTGATGATCAGGAGGAGGCGGAGGAGGAGGAGGAAGAGGATGATGAGAAGGAGGTAGATGATGATGATGATGATGATGATGATGATGATGATGATGATGATGATCATGATGATGCTGATGCTGATGCTGATGCTGATGCTGATGATGATGCTGATGATGATGATGATGATGATGATGATGATGATGATGATGATGATGATGATGATACTGATGGTGATTCTGATGATGATGATGAAATTTGTCCAAGCATTTGGGCTATGTGCTCCCACAGCCGTTGCGGAACCCCTGGGGGGAACACTTGGGAGAGGAAGGCGAAAGAGGAGGAGACGGATGAGAAGGAGGAGGACGAGGAGGAGGTAAATGATGATGACGATGATGATGAGGGGGAGGAGGAGGAAGCTGCTGATGATGATGATGATGATGATGTTGATGATTATAACGATGATGATTTGGATGAGGACGATGATGATGCTGATGATGGTGATGAGGACGAGGATGAATAGGAGGCGGAGGATGAGGATGAGGAGGTAGATGATGAAGCTGATGATGATGACGATGATGATGATGATGATGATGATGCCGATGATGCTGATGATAATGGTGATGATGCCGATTCTGATGATGATAATGCTGCGGCTGATTATGATGCTGATTATGGTGATGATGATGGTGACGATGATGCTAATGATTCTGATTATGATGATGATGCTGATGATAATGATGAATATTATGATGATGTTGATGATGATGATGCTGATACCGCTGCTGTTGATGCTGCTGATGATGATGCTGCTGATGATGATGATGATTCTGGGGATGATGATGATGGTGGTGATGATGATGATCAGAATGATGATGATGATGCTGCTGATGATGAGATGATGATGATGATGATGCTGATGATGATGATGATGATGATGATGATGATGATGATGATGATGATGGTGTTGATGATGATGATGATGCTGATGATGATGCTGATGATAATGATGATGCTGATGCTGATGCTGATGCTGATGCTGATGCTGCTGATCATGATGATGCTGCTGATGATGCCGATGATGCTGATGCTGCTGTTGCTGCTGCTGCTGATGATGATGATGATGATGATGATACTGATGGTGATTACGATGATGATGATGATGATGATGATGATGATGATGATGATGATGAAATTTGTCCAAGCATTTGGGCTATGTGCTCCACCAGCCGTTGCGGAACCCCTGGGGGGAACACTTGGGAGAGGAAGGCGAAAGAGGAGGAGACGGATGAGAAGGAGGAGGAGGCGGAGGAGGAGGAGGAGGTAAATGACGATGATGATGATGATGACGATGATGATGATGCTGCTGATGATGATGATGATGCTGATGATGATGATGATGATGATGATGGTGATTGATGATGATGATGATGACGATGACGATGACGATGACGATGACGATGATGATGATGATGTTGATGATGATGATGATGTTGATGATGATGATGATGACGATGATGATGATGATGATGATGATGATGATGATGATGATGATGATGATGATGATGATGATGATCATGATGATGATGATGAGTAGGAGGATGAGGAGGAGGAGGCGGAGGAGGAGGAGAAGGAGGAGGACAAGGAGGAAGACAAGGAGGCCTCTTGAGGACCTCTTGGGGCCTCATGGGGGCTTCCTGAGAGCCTCTTGGAGGCCTCTGAAGGGCGGGGGCCTCTGGGGCCGTCTTGGGGCAATCTTGGGGGCCGTCTTGTATCGTCGGGAGCCCGAAATGATGTGAACGCTAACTTCATAGGAAAGGGTAATCACGGATTTTAGCTTCCTGGAGGTCCCCTTGGAGCCCTTGGAGACCGTTCCAACCCAGCCAATTTCACCTTGGCCAGGCTGAGCGCGGCCGAGTCGAGTCAGCCGAGTTGAGCCGGCCGAGTTGAGCTGCAGCTCCTGCTGCAGCCAGTTTGCCGGCCGAGTTGAGCCCAGACGAGTTCAGCTTGGCCGACTTGAGCCTCGCCGAGTTTTGCCTGAGTTGAGCCGGCCGAGTTAAATCCCAGCCGAGTCGGACCAGTCCGAGCCGAGCTCCGGCCGAGTTGAGCCGGCTGAGTTGGGCAGGCCGAGTCGAGCCTAGCCGAGTTGATCCTCGCGAGGTTGAGCCTGGCGCGGAGTTCATCCAGCACCCTCGGTTATACCCTCGACTCCGACGGAAACTAGCGTTAAATCGGGCATGTCCCTCTACAGGAGGAGTATTTAAAAATAGTGACAGATAGTCAGGGGACGATTTTCCCCGACCTTGAGGAGGTGTTCCCGTTTAGTGTCCCCCTAGGGGGGTCTGGGGGAGATTCGGTCCCTTTACAACCCGAACGACACTTTTCAATCGAGATAGGTCACTTTCCAACCAGCAGATGCTCGAATTCACTGGTTTTCCTTTGAGAACGACCACTTTACAAACAGAACAGCCCACTTTACAACCAGAACGACCACTTTACAACCCAGACGGGGCTCTTTGCAACCAGAACGGCCACTTTACAACCAGCCTTCAGAAGCGCGTGCGCGCTCTGCAGGGGCTTCTGAAGCTTCTGAGCGCCTGAACGCTCTGCAAAGGCTTCTGCGCGCCTGCGCGCTTTGCAGAGGCTTCTGAGCGCCTGAGCGCTTTGCAAAGGCACCTTTGCGCCTGAGCGCTCTGCAGAGTCTTCTGAGCACCTGAGCGTTCTGCAGAGGCTCATGAGCGAATGAGCGCTCTGCAGAGGCTTCTGAGCGCTCTGCAGAGCGGCTTCTGAGCGCCTGGGCGTTTTGCAGAGGCTTCTGAGCGCCTGTACGCTTTGCAGAGGTTTTGCGATTGCCGAGCGATGAGGCGGGAGGACTAAAGTTGTTGGTGAGGCCTAACACACATTGAAATCCACATGTATCGGCTAGAACTTTACCACCGATTGCTTGGCAACATTTCCGCCCTCCTGGGTACGCATGCTTCCGCATATACGAAAACAGGATTTGTTTCCTATTGTCCAACGATGAGGCGCGATGCCAAACATGGTTTCTGATGTAGAAAACAACAATTTGAAATCCACATGGCCACATTTTCTGTTTCTCAACCATCCTGTGGTGTTGGGCCCTCGTTTTGAAGAGACTGCGCCCCGCGTTCCTCCTCCTCCTCTCTTCTCCTCCTCCTCCTCCTTTTTCCATCCTCGTCGTCATCATCAACAATATCATCAACAATATCATCAGCATCATCATCGTCATCAACATCATCATCATGTCGGCACACCCCTCACGCGGTTCGTGGTCCTATAGGGAGCTCCTCCGGAGTCCCCAGTGGCTGCGTCCGCATGCGTCACCGCCGCCCATTACGGCACACCCCTCGCACGTTTCGTGGCTCCATAGGGAGCTCCACCGAAGGCCCCAGTGCCACCGCCCGCATGCGTTCCCCACACCCAATTCGGCACACCCCTCACACGTTTCGTGGCCCCATAGGGAGCTCCACTGGAAACCCCAGTGCTACCGCCCGCATGCGTCACCCACACCCAATTCGGCACACCCCTCGCACGTTTCGTGGCCCCAGAGGGAGCCCCATCGGAGGCCGATGTGCCACCGCCCGCGTGCGTCCCCCACACCCAAGTCGGCACACCCCTCACACGTTTCGTGGCATCACAGGGAGCTCCACCGAAAGCCCCGATGCCACGGCCCGCATGCGTCCCCCACACCCAATTCGGCACACCCCCCCAATGCCACCGCCCGCATGCGCTTAACCCGCACCAATTCGGCACACCCCTCAATGCTTCGTGGCACCACAGGGAGCTCCACCGAAGGCCCCAGTGCCACCGCCCGCATGCGCCCCCCACACCCAAGTCGGCACACCCCTCACACGCTTCCTGGCAACACAGGGAGCTCCACCTAAGGCTCCCCATGCCACCGCCCGCATGCGCCCCCCACACCCAAGTCGGCACACCCCTCACACGCTTCCTGGCACCACAGGGAGCTCCACCGAAGGCCCCAGTGCCACCGCCCGCATGCGTCCCCCACACACAATTCGGCACACCCCTCACACGCTTCCTGGCACCACAGGGAGCTCCACCGAAGGCCCCAGTGCCACCGCCCGCATGCGTCCCCCACACCCAAGTCGGCACACCCCTCACACGCTTCGTGGCACCACAGGGAGCTCCACCGAAGGCCCCAGTGCCACCGCCCGCATGCGCCCCCCACATCCAATTCGGCACACACACAAGCATGTTACCCCACACACCCCTCACACGCTTCCTGGCACCACAGGGAGCTCCACCGAAGGCCCCAGTGCCACCGCCCGCATGCGTCCCCCACACCCAAGTCGGCACACCCCTCACACGCTTCGTGGCACCACAGGGAGCTCCACCGAAGGCCCCAGTGCCACCGCCCGCATGCGCCCCCCACATCCAATTCGGCACACCCCTCACACGCTTCGGGGCCCCAGGGCGCGCGGGGCGTCTCGCTGCTGCGGCATGCCCTGGGGCGAGCGCCCGACATCGACGGGGGATTTTTCGAGCCAGACTGCTCCAGGTTCTCGCGTGTCGACGCCCAGAGGGTCGGCTAACAGCTTGGGGGCAATCGCGCTTGCGTGTTCCAGGCAGGTCGGAATCGCCTCGTGCAGGTGTGCTGGCGGAGGATCAGCAGGGCGGGGAACGCTCGGGGCCAGTCCCCGAACCGCACGGCACCGCGCATGTTCGCAAGGTGCTGCCGCAAGCAGAAGGGCGAGGTGGGTGGCAACTGCGAGGGGCGAGCCCGAGTCTTGGCGACCGAGGCAGTCGGGGGGGCGGGGGGCCACGGCGAAAGCCTGCCAGACGCGCGTCGTCAGCCGCGCCCCGGGGTTGTCATCGTTGGTCTGGTCTGGACCATCATCTCCCTCCTTCTCTCTCTCTCTCTATCTCTGTCTCTCCCTCTCTCCCCCTCTGTCTCTCTCTCTCTGCCCCCCTGTCTGTCTGTCTGTCTGTCTGACTGTCTGTCTGTGTGTCTGTCTGTCTGTCTGTCTGTCTGTCTGTCTGACTGTCTGTCTGTCTGTCTGTCTGTCTGTCTGTCTGTCTGTCTGTCTGTCTGTCTGTCTGTCTGTCTGTCTGTCTGTCTGTCTGTCTGTCTCGCTCTCTCTCTCTCTCTCTCCTTCTCTCTCTCTCCTCCCCCCTTCCCGAGTACCAGCAACACAGGCTGAACGTTAAAATCGCGGGGGGGTGGGGGGTGGGCGATGCCGAACCGGAGCCCGATACTTGCTGCAGGGCATCCGAAGGGACCCGAGGACACTCCGCTGCGTGCCTGGGGGCATGCAGGCGGATACTGGCCGCTGGGCTCCGCTGCGTGCGTGCAGATCATCCTGGCTGCAGTGTTCGGCCAGATCGCGTGGCCATGGGGCGGGTCAGGGACGCACTACGAGTACCTCTGGTTCGTCAGCGCGTACCTGTTCTGCATCTTGCTGTTCCCCTTCTTCCACCAGATCCTGCACAGCCACGCTTGTTTCAGGTGGGGCGCTCCAGAAAGGGCCTTGCCTGCGGGGATCGAAGGAGTTGTCATCTCTTCCGCGGCGGAAGGCGGCGGTAGGGTGGCGGAAGGTCGGCGGAAGTAAAACAAGGCCGCCTCCGCTGGCGTAAGGCGGCGGAAGCTCGGCGGAAGGCGGCGGAACTAAAAGATGCGCCCGCAAGAGATGAAAACGTTTCTGGGTTCAGGGTTTCCGTAATTGTTAGGTCGGGCATGTCCCCCTACAGGCGGATTTTGGACGAAAAATCAAACATATTCCACAAATGTGCAAACATAGTCAAACATAGTCAAAAAATTGTCTCCAGACTATTTTTTAGCATTCTGGAATATTCCTCCGCTAGAGAGACATGCCCGACTGAACGTAATCGCCCAGGTGTTGCTGTGCGGGGAGGGAGCCCACGGACGTCTGCTGCGCCGAGCCGTGCACGCGGTACTGCTGCTGGCCGGCCTGCGGCGGCGGGGGGCTCTTCCTGGTCCTCAACGCCGCCGTGGTCGGGGGCCTCCTCGCGCGGGGCTGCGCGGGGCCCAACCATGTACACCACCGCCACCTCCCGCCCTCCTCCCTCCCCCAGGGAAGGAGGAGGGGAAGGAGAGAGAAGGAAGTGGAGGGAGGAGGCATCGACGTGGTGGTCGTGTATGTTCTCGGGGCCCGCAGGCTGGGGCCTCCGTGCCAACTTCTTCCCCCCGACGTGGGCCGGGGTCTTCTTCCAGGGCTGCGTCCTGTGGCAGCTCTTCGAGAGGAACGGGCAGCACCCGCGAGGCAGGTCTACGCACTGGGGGAAGGTCGTCGACGGCCTCGCTCTGCTCGCGGTCGCCGTTTTTTGGATCGGGGTCCCGCTCGGCACTGTCATCATGGGCAAGCAGCAGGACCGCATCATGGTGGATCCGGCGGACCTTCCAGTGGCAGTGCTCATCACCTTCTTTGCAACAAGGTTCTACCACTTGTTGCTGCCGGCCGTCTTGCTCTGGGTTTACGCGCTCGCGACAGGCCAGGGTTTTCTTGCGCGCTGCTTGAGAAACGACTTCCTCGTGAAGTACTTGTCGCCGGCCTCATACGCGATGTACCTTTTTCACTACCCGATCGCTCTAATGCTGATGATGTGGTTCCGAGGATCGTATCTCCCCAGTTCCCTGCCGGATGTCGCTCTGGGTCAGTGGTGGCTCTACTTTGTGGTAGTCTTTGTAACCGTGCTCGTCTCTTTGTTCCTGCAGCACGTGGTGAATAGCCGCCTGACGACGTGCTTCCTCCTCTGCCTCGAGTCGTGTGGCTGCCGCAGCAATCGCCGCGTCAAAGCGGATCAGGAGGAGACCACGCTCAGCCAGGTCACCGAGTGCATCCATGGTCTCACGGGCGCAGAGGTCGACGAACACACACTGCTCGCAGACTCTGGTTTCGATAGTTTCGGCAGTGCGGGCCTCATCGGGGTGCTCAAGGCGAGGTTCCCGAAGATGGCGCTCACGGCGGTGCAGGTGTACCAGCTCAAGACAGTGGGAGATCTAGTGGCGAGGATCGATGACAGCACGGGGACGCATGACTGGAAAACCATTTAGAGTAATGCCGCGAGCGACAATCGAGCTTCTTTTAGCTGCACCCGTGATCTGTGCAGGAGGGGGGATGCAGAGGTGAGAAGTGAGGTGGGGAAGGAGGGAGGGTCGCGGGATAGGTGAAGGAGGAATGAGGATGTACTATAGAAGAAAGGAAGGGCAGATGTAGGAGGGATGATGCAGAGAGGATGGGGGTTGAGGGGCGAAGGGGAGAGAAGGGATGGGAAACGAGGGCGGGATGACTTGGCAGGGAGAGAAGGAGGGAGAGCGAGAGGGATGAGGACGGGGATGCAGGAGGGACTAAGAGGGTTGAGACTGTGGAGGTTTGGGTGGTACGATTGCAAAGCTGCGCGGGCGGCGGGGCTCTCAATATCCAGCCGGCCGCGGCAAGTTCCGCCACTATGCCAGTCAAGCAGTATGGGTGGCGACTGTTCGAGAGTAGGATAGCCGCGATGAGGATGAGGCTGAGGACGAGGATGAGGATAAGGACGAGGATGATGATGCCGACGATTCTGATGATGATGATGAAGATGTTGATGACGATCATGATGATGATGATGTTGATGATGATGGTGTTTCTGATGGTGGCGATGATAATGCTGATGATGATAATGCTGATGAGGATGATGCTGATGATGCTGATGATGCTGATGGTGGTGATGATGCTGATGATGCTGATGGTGGTGATGATGATGCTGCTGATGATGTCGATGCTGCTGTTGCTGTTGTTTATGATGATGATGATGATGATGGTGGTGGTGATCATGCTTATGATGATGATGATGATGCTGCTGATGATGATGATGATGATGATACTGCTGAAGACGATGATGATGATGATGATGATGATGATGATGATGATGATCATGCTGATGATGCTGATGATGGTGCTGATGGTGGTGAGGCTGATGATGATGATGCTCTTGATGTTGATGTTGTTGTTGTTGGTGATGATGGTGGTGATGATGGTGGTGGTGGTGATGATGATGCTGATGATGATGACGATGCTGATGCTGCTGATGATGGTGATGATGATGATGCTGATGCTGATGCTGCTGATGATGATGATGATGATGCTGATGATGATGATGATGATGATGATGCTGATGATGACGATGCTAATACTAATAGTTGTTATTATTATTGTTCTGTAGTGCGGAGCTGCACGGGAGCCTCGTTGCGGCATTTCGGGATCTCTTGGGGGTTTCTTGGGGCCTCCAGGGGGTGTCTTGGGAGCCTCTGGGGGCCTCTGGCGTGTACAAGGCACGGTGGCAGATCATACGTTTGAATGTGCCCCCCCCAATGTGCCCCCCCCCATGTTTTATTTGGCACGACTCCGTACGTATGCCCGAAGATGGCCCCACATGAATTTGGGGGCAAGATGTGGAAAGGAGCTTTGTGAACTGAATGTTGCAACAAGCAAGCTGCAACTAGTGATCCTGTTCCTAGGTGTGATGAAGGGAACGAGTGAACACCCCTAGCTTCACAATCCCTTATCCTCAATCCAATCCCCGCCCTTGTTTCGAACCTCACAAGGGAACGTGGACAGGGAGAGGGAGTGGGAATCCGCTGGTGCAACACAGGGGCATCAGTTTCTTGGGCACGTGTGCGCGATTAGACAACCCAGTCGGAAGAATTGGCTTTCGTGTTCATTTCTCCGCTTCCTTGACCTCAAGTGCGTGGAGTACCACGCTCGAGTAGCGAGTAGCGGGTAACGCATGGCATTAGCTAAGGCAGCGTCGCCCCGAGTTTCACAAAAAGTTTCATCATGCAGTGTGTTTCCATGGGCCATCTGCGACAGACAGTCGCACGGCACTTCGATGAGTGAGCGCGGGTGATCGTGTGTTCGGGTCGGTCAGTATCCTCGCTTCGCGGGCACCGCGCTCTGACATGTTTTCGCTGATCTTCTTTCGCAGTGCTGGAGCCAGTCGCTCAGCGTTTGCTAAGTTTGGCCGCGCGTGGATGTCGAGGCTCGAGACTGGGCTAGTGACTCTCATCAGTTTGGACACCCAGGTTTGCGGTGTGGAAACACTGAAGTGGCCAAACGGTGGGCAACAGTTTTACGTCGCTGCTGGACTGTTTGTTCCCAAGCCGTTGGGGTGCACAATTCCCCACTAGTTCGGAGTTTACCTGGCTCTGGTGGAGGCCTCTGGAACCATTCGAGGCCATCTCGGGGATGCATGGTTTTGTTTTGGCGGTGCCAAGGGGGGTGGGGGGTGCTGCGCCCCTGGTTTCTCTTGGGCCATATCGGAGGCCTCTTCGAGACCGTCTGGGGCCCTTGGGGTGGATTCATGTACCATCTCAGGCTTCCCTGAAGGTCAGTTCAGGTCATATCGAAGCTACCTCAAAACCGTTGCGGCGCATCCTCTCTAGAACTTGCCCCTCGGGGGCCTGCGTGGAGGCTGCTTGGGGCCCTCTCGGGGGCCTTCTGGGGCCCTCCAAAATCATTGCGGGCACCCCATACGTAGCCATCTCCTGGCGGCCTTGGGGACCATCTTGGGGGCGTGTGTCGGCTTCGTCGGAGCATCTTGGTCCCGTATCGGGTGAGTCGGGGGCACCTTTAGGGCCCCCCATTGGAATCCCCTTGATGGTTCATGAGCAATAGTGTGTCCTCCTTGGGAACAATTACCCCAACCAGTGCTTGCACTTAGGGTTTCTAATTTTTGTCAGAGAGAACTGGGCTCGTTTGTCGGATCCACCGCCTTGTTGCCGCCGTCGCCGCCCCTTCACGGCTTCGTCGCCGCCCGTCGTCTGGACTCGTTTGTCAGGTCCATCGCCTCGTTGCCGCCCCGTGGTTTCCTTGTCACCGCCCGTCGTCTGGGCTCGTTTGTCGGGTCCGCATCCTTGTTGCCGCCGTCGCCGCCCCGTGGCCGCTTCGTCGTCGCCCGTCATCTGGGTTCGTTTGTCGGGTCTGCCTTTTTGTTGCCGCCTTCGCCGCCCCGTCGTTGCCTCGTCGCCGCATCGTGTGGGCTTTGTCGGATCCCCTGCCCTGTTGTCGCCGTCACCACCCTGTGGCCACTTCGTCGCCGCGTCGTCGCCGCCCGTTGGCTGTCGGGTCCACCGCCTTGTTGCCGCCGTCACCGCCTCGTCGCCGCCTAGATTCCCTGTTCTACAAGAGTATTAGGATCCCCCCCCCCCACCACGGAATGAACGCCCCCCTTCTCGTTTTGCAGTATTAGGATCTCCCCCCCACCACGGAGTTATCTTCCCCATTGTCCATCCTAAATGTAGATTCGTGTCATCCCAGTCAAAGCGGCAACTGCCCCCTACATCTTTTGCAACAACTACTATGCGCGCACTCGTTTATCACACATGTTCAATTTTCAGAAAGAAATCCCGTGCAACAGGTGAGAGGAAGTGCCCACGCGCGCGTCGTCGCGCGCGCATTGCGGAACCCTTCACAGTTTGGAGGTTTCGCCCAGATTTCAAATCGAGTGCCCGAATATACGCATGGTTTCACAGCAATAATGGTGAAAGACATCTTGCGCTCGCGCTCTTTGGGATTTCTTAACTTGTGTAAATCATAACTTGTTCATAACATGCTACCAAGTGGGCGTTTCGCGCGTGCATGTCGAAATCGTTCGAGCGCGCTTGCGCGCGTGCTGTCGCAAGAATCTTTTGCACAAAAGCAGGACGAAATGCAGACGCGCGCGTCGTCGCGCGCACATGCCGAAAACCTTCAAACCTTAGGTTTTGTGGGGGGGTCAAAATTGAGAGGCACGCAACACATTAAAACATTCGGTTTCGCAACAACATTTTTCAAAACAGCCTGCGCTCGCGCTCTTGCGTTTGCGACTGCGTAAGAACCACGTTTTTAATCATTAAAGAAGTTTGTCATTACGTTCTGTCAGATAGGCCCTTCGCGCCGCATGTCGAGATCATTAGAACGCCCTGGCGCGCGTGTTGGGGGTAGGGCACGCTCCGTGTCAAATTATACTGCACGGGCCACTCGCGCGCGTCGGCCGCGCGCGCATGTCGAATCCATTCCGAAACCTTCATCACCGAAGCGAGGACGCCGTCGTCGTCGTCGGCGTGATCAGCATCGGCGCCGTCACTGACCGAGCCGTCATCGTTGTCATCATCTTCACCAACACCGCTACTCTCATCATCGTGTCTACCGTTGTCGGCGTTGCCATGGTACCGCGCCGGCCCAAGTCGCCGACTCGCACTGTGCCCGTTGGGAAGTGCCTAGCGGTCAGCGCCACCGCGGCCGCGTCGGACGCGCCACACTAGCTGGCCTTGCGCGCGCGAGCATGCGCGGGCTAGCGCGGCCGCAGAGATGCACTAGCCAACGCCAAGCACTCATCGCAATTACCGCCGCGTGGGTTTTGCAAACCAAGGCGCGGGTGGGTGGGTGGGGCGATTGCGCGATCAGTGGAGTTGAGAACTCACTGCGAGCAGAAAGTTCTTGCGCAGCACAGGCTCTCCTTTCTGTCTGAAAGAATATTCGGATCTATCGCCCCCCCCGCC